TCAAAGGCTATAGAGAGCTGGACTAGAAATTGACTGTGAGAAAGACGAAAATGATTTTTAATTATTTGTACAGATTGTATAATTTGCTGACTAAAAACAGATGCCTGTGAGACTATATCAAAAAGACTCCGTATGTCCAGCAGTATTTGCCCATGGCAGTTTGTACCATGGGCAGAATACACTCTTTGTCCATTTGAATTTGCACACCAATTACTGAAACTCTAAAAAGAATTTATTTTCTCCCAAGAGATAGTGACACACTAGGCAAAAATAGAATCACGATAGGGGATGATAAAGATGATGCTTTGTAAGGATTTAAAATGCAAAACCGTGATATGCAAGGCTGTCTTTTTCACAAGTTAAATGAAAACCTTTGTAAAGAATGGTTTGACAAAGCAATCAAAGTATTTCTGCAAACAATCTAGAAATTTACAGACATCTGTATTATAATATTTTAATTGGTAGTGGGTGGCATGTATAATTTTAGTCAGCAATTAAGGATTCAGTAATGACAATGGAACATCTCTGATCTCATCCACAATGCCTTTTTAGCTCTTCCTTCTATTTCAGTCTGTTGTAAAAGTAAAATTAATTGTGTACAATAGGTATTTGAATTGTAAAAATTTGTGACTAGAGACTAAATGTGAAGTGTGTGAAGTGGATATTTTATTTCTCTGCAGTCATTTTTGTAGGATCATTAGTCACTAAAGACAGGTATATGTTGGGTAATTAAAATTCAAATCATATTAAAAGTTCTTCTATTGTAATGCACACTTTACCCAATAATTCATAGTGGCTCCTACCAAGATAGATATCTAATTGTTTTGAGTGTTAATTTTTTTTTTTTTTTGCAGTCCTTGTATAACAATAAGAACCAAAGGGCCCAAAGGAAAAAATAACTAAAAAGAGAGGAAATAAAATTATCTCAAACCTAGTCTTCTCTTAAATGGATTAGTCCATATCATTTGTATTTTTGTGTGTAATTTATTTATTTACTTACTTACTTACTTACTTACTTACTTACTTACTGTGAATGCAGCATTAAAATTAACATTGTTAAACTTTTAAAAGATAAAAGACTTCAAGAACCTTATTTTTGTTCTAAGATTATTTAATAGTAACAATGATCTTGGAAATCTTTTCAGGGTCTTTTATAACACACTTATATCAAAATTACACTGACACCAGAATAGAGGTCAGGAACATATCTTGGATTATAAGAAAAGATATCACTAATTGAGCAGTATAAAAAAACCTGGTTTCAGTCTATCTTTGCTGTAAGTTATCCCATCATATAGCTTCTGAGTAGGAACTTGGCCATTGTCTAGAGCATTGCAGTGCTAACCCAGAGGACATACTTTCCTGAGCAGTTCAAGTCCATTAGGGGAAAGATAAGCAATCTCTTGTGTGATTCACAGCCCCACAAACCCAGTGGAAGGTCAGCTATTAGTGAGTTCCAGTGCTACACCAGTGAGTTTAAAGTTTCGGTTTGTATATTCCATATTCTCGGATAACATTAAAGAACATCTCTGCTTTATTATTCAAATTTAAATAAAGGGTTCCTTTTCTAGCATCTATAATTCTCCAAAGAATATTATTTCTGGGAATTCTTTGTCATTAGACTATGTGTATCTGGGTTTTCATTCTCTCTTCTTATTCACTAGTAAAAAAGTAGTTAAGACCTCACTGGCCCCCCCAGGAATTGAGCCATAGAGAAATGTGGTTAGCACATTTCTAGCCTTTCCCCCTTATTTAAAGTAGACAAGCTTCAATAGTAAACTTCCTTTTCTTGCCTAGAAAGTACTCACTTCTTTGCAGTGTCTTTTTTAAAGACCAGTGACACTTGGCTAAATGAAATCCTGTATCCCACTCAAGCCTGCGGATGGGAATAGCTTTCCCCACTTAACAACAACCATTGTTAACCTCAGTCTTTCTTGTATTTCCTAAATCCCAAGTTTAAAAAACTGTTAGCTAACATTAAACCCGAATTAAAAGGTTAAACTTTGTAATTTCTTCATATACTAGGTTCAGGCATTTTGCTGCTTTTTATCAGACCTCTTATCTAGACTGTTCAGTCTAGTCCAATATTTCAGGATACAAACCAAATTATTGTTTAGCAAAGCTTAAAATAATGAATATTACCTTTAGAGATTCCTTGATATCACCCACTATGGATAAAAGACCTGATATATCGCTTTCCCCCTGTTCTTTCTGTGGGACATGAAACTTGTTTGGCTTTTTAATTCTGTTTTCTGAAAATAACCTAAGCAGTCAAGATGCCTTTGTTTCCAAAAATAGCCAAGTAAGTAAGGCTGCACATGCCCTCCATTTGCAGACTAGGTGGGGAAGGGACCTAATGTGGCCTGCATACGTATTGATTGGGTGTATTCTAACTATTGCAGACAGCCTTGACATGTACCCTTGAGTCAGAATCAACTCATCACTAACTCTCCAGTGGGTTTGTAGAGGCTGTAAATCATATGGAGATTATGATACTTCAAATTGCCTCTCTTTGGATTGGCAGTACAACTCCTTACCAAGTAAGCCACCAGAGCTCCCTATTGAAGAGGGCCTAAGTCTCATACTCAATGAAGCCCTAACAACTAGAGGACCTAGATCCTTGGATCATTCTCTACAGGACTCCTGGATTAGAGAGGAAAGGAAATCTAGGCATAGGAGAGGAAGCAGGCAGTTCATGTGTACAGTGGATGTCATGCCACACCTCCCTCGGAGTCAGCCTGTATCTCTATGCTTTATCCTTTCTCGTTGTAATACATGGGTGACTGTAAGCATAGGGAGAGCTCTGGTGGCCTATAGCCAATCCAAAGGCACATGGATCAAATGTACCAGCAGCTCAGAATAAGTAAAGCAGTCTCGCCCCATGGGATTTACAGCCTCTGAAAACTGATGGAGGGCCATCTGTGAGTTGGTTCTGACTCAGTGGTATGTAATAATTATGTGAGTGTAGGCAGTAGTTCTCTGTGAATTCATTGAGTTACTCTTAGTAGTCAATTATAAAACCCACCATTGAGAGCCAGCAGCAAGTATGGCATATTCCACCTGGCAGAGGCTAGAAGGACAGACTCCTAACTTGTGTGGGCATCATTGAGTGATTAGAGTGAGAGAGAAAAGGCCTCATGTGAGCCAGGATGATGAACAAGGAAAATAGTGATAGTTCTCTTTTCACTATTTAGAAAACAATTTTGTATCAGCTGTTTTCCCTGCATTGTCTGTTGCCCTATGTCCACCACTCTTTGGATCTTGCAGACAGAAAATTCATTCTTTGGACAGACTTCAGGTCCACATCCTTTTTCTCTAAGCTGGCTTTGCAGCTTCTCTCTTCATTGCATTGAGTCTACACTTCTACCTTTTTTTTTTTTTTTAATTAAACAAGGAATCATTTAAATATGATTCAGAGCCCTTTTCTTTTGGGTCACAGTTAAGCTAAACCTCTCTAAGGATGCCCTCATAGGAAAAAGTGGGATTTTCATCTTCAGTCCATCATAGTCAAATTGGCAGCATCCTTATTCGTGTCTGCAGAATCTCATTTTTTTTTTCATTTTTATTTTATATTGGTTTGCTTACAAAGTTCATATACATTGTGTTTCACATTATCCTTCATTCGCATTGTGTTTCATACAGTCATTCCCATGTATTATGTTTTATAGAATAAATCACCATTAAACTATGCTTACTATTACCCTCACTTTCCACATCGCCTCTTGGTCTTTCTTACTTCCTTTATCTACCCCCTACCCACCAAGATTGCACAACCGTACAATTCCCCCCACATTCCCATGCCTCTGCTCCCACCCCTTCCCCTCTTGAACCCCATACACGTTTTACTTGTTATCCTTCTATTTTTACAATAATAATCTTATACAATATTTGTCTTTATGAGACTGAGTTAGTTCACTCAGCATAACACTCTCCAGTCTCTCAAGTTATGTAGTAATTTTTGAAATCATTGCTCCTGAGCACTTAATAGAATTCCATGTTTTGACTGTACCACAGTTTTTCAGTCTATTTGATGGTGGTTGGACGATGGGATTGTTTCCATGTTCTTGCAGTAGTGCTTATTCTTTAAGTGTGCTTGTGTGCATTTGTTTTTCCGTCTTGAGTAGTCGTGGATTTCCTCCTTTGTCACAAGTTTCTCTAGCCTTTCCACTCTCTCATTCACTCATTGCCATTTAGTTGGAGTCAACTTTTATTTCAGCATCTGTTGGGTTTTGGGAGACTGAATTGTTCAGAAAGCTATTGCCCGTCCCTCTCCCATGGAAACTTGTGAATTTGAACTGAGAGAGGGATGTGGAAATTGAGTTAATAGCTACAGACTATCCACCAGAACTCCCTAATTGCCCATAGTTCTCTTTCATGCTCTTCTCTCCCATAAAATCCTGAAGCTTGCTGGATTTTATTCCTCCTAAAAAGCTAGTCCATAGAGCTGCTGACCCAAAGGCAACAGGTGGTTCGACTCCACCAGCTGCTCCTCAGGAGTCCGATTGGCAGTCTCCTCATGTGCTTTTTACAGACTCTCAGAACTCTCTAGAGGATCAGCTGTGTGTCCTGACTCAATGTCTGTGAATTCGAGTTTTTATTATATTTTATTTTGATTAATCAAAGTCAGATAAACTATAAGAGTTTCTGGTCAAAATTGACTAACCAGTAGCCAAGCTGAATTAATAAAATTTGTCAAAGGAAAGGTTTTGGTTTGACTTTTTTTTTTTTTTTTTTTAGGGAAGTGAGCATATATTGTAAAATGCTTTAGGCAATAATGAAACTAGTTTTCAGATCAGCATTATCCCCCTCCTGGATCATAGAGGGTGGGGAGCCTGAGCGTGGTAAGGCCAAGGGTTGGAGCCCTCCGTGTTCTTGTTCTCTAGTCTGCCCTCAAAATGGAAAAAGCTATGTAATTTTGAGTGAAATGAGAATGCCGATGTTTTAGAGCTACTATGCTGAATTGATGTCTCTCTTTTTTTTTTTTCCTTTTTTGCACATAGATTGACTATGAAAGGAAAAAGAAAGAAGACGGAAAGCGAGCTCGAGCTGATAAACAATATGTTTTAGATATGCTGTTTTCCGCTTTTGAGAAGCATCAGTATTATAACCTGAAGGACTTGGTGGACATCACAAAGCAGCCTGTGGTATGTACATGTTCGAATTGGTCCTTTTAAGTATGTACTGCTTCATTAGTGTGTCTTTACTAGGAGAAGTAGGTCATTGTGTATGAGGAAGTTAACATTCACCATGCTAATTCCAGATTTTGCTTGAACATTTAGAAAAGCTGCTTAATGCAGCTTTATTTTTGGTAATGTTGTTGTTGTAGTTGTATGTGTCTCAAGTCTCTTAATAGCAACCCTAGGTATAGTAGCCCTGAAACCTCCTCTCTCCTGTGCCAACTTTATTGTCTCTGACACACTTAGGCCCATTATCCCAGTCAATGAATCAGTCCCTATCATCTCATTTACGGTCTTCTTCTTTTGCACTGTCCCTCTACCCTTCCAAGAATGATGTCCTTCTCCAAGGACTGGTCCCTCCTTGAAACATGCCCAAAATATGTCAGACAAAGCCTCAGAATCCTTACCTCTAAGGAGCAACCTAGTTTCATCCTCTCAAGGATGAACCTGTTTGTTCTCCTGGCAGTCCATGGTATAGTCAATACTCTTCTCCAACACCACAGCTCAAAGGCATCAGTTCTCTTTCTGTCATTCCTAGTCATTGACACAGAAAGCTGTGTCAGTTTTCTGACACATAGCAAGATAATAGCAACTTCATTATTTCAGATTTCAAACAAATTTAGTATTAGCTACTACATGTGAAAAAAAAAAGTAGAAATACTCTCCTTTTGACTTATCCTTGACATTAAGCCTAAAGTCTCTTATGTATGTCATTTCTGGTTCTTTTTTAGTCATGCTGTCATGGTGAGAATTTATCCCTGTTTCGTGAAGTTTTTCCTTTAAGTCAGTCTGCCTAGTTGTAGGTACTTTCAAGTTATCTTTATTAAAATTTGTAGTTACAGTGAACTGTTCCTTTTTTTTTAAGATAAATGTGCCAAGTTAAGATTTTACAAAATTTATCTTTGTTCCGTAGTGATTTAAGGAAAGGGGTGGGGGGGAATCCCTTCCCTAAGCTTGCCTGCATATTTGCTATTAATTTCTGTTCTTACCCTTTTTAAAAGCTGACAACAAATTCTCTTTTCTCCAGTCTTTGAGCCTTATTCTGTTTCAGTTTACCTGGGTTACATCTACTGCTATAGAAATACCAGTTTCCATTATTATAACAGTGTTTACATATGGGTTTAAAAAATTAAATTATAACCCTTTAGTTTTCTATCCTTTTCACAGTTTTCATATTATTTTTTCTACTTTGCCTATATTCTCAAGAATATTGATTCTCGTTGCTCCTTATGTTCTGACTACGTAATAAGATAACCAATTTGACAATGTTTTAACATAATCAAATAACCCCTTTTTTTGAAGGATTTGGCATGCATTTTCTGATTTATACAAAGCTTCATAGGAATGATTTATGAAATTTCAGTGTTGGTAGTAATTTTCACTTTTGTGGCAATTTCTTTACTGCTCTACATCATTTTTTTGGAATACATTAAGTTTCAGAAGAGCAGAGTACTTTTTTTAATAGAGAAAAGTGTTCATGCTGCAGTATTACCAATTGCTCCTAATGACTTCAGTCCCTTTAGCATCAAAGCCTTAGATATGACATTCCAAACTAGATAAAAAAAATTGAAATAGAATAATTCATTAGTTAAGCTGTGTTTCCCTCTATCTTAATGAGGCTTATCTAAATATATACATGCATAGCACACACACATATATGCACCATCATACAAATACTGAAAACAGACAAGATATTCTCATGAAATAACAAGTGAAAAAATTTTAGGAGAAAATAAGCACTTAACAGAATTATGTACAGATGCTATGGAGAAAACAGGACCTTTTCTTCAAATGGGATGACTTTCCTGGGGTTTTTTGGGGGGGAGAATAATTTTGTTTTATAGTTTAGTCATTTTGCATCAAAGGGAAAAGATTAATAGTATTTCTCTGACTTGTGATTCTTCATATAATTTTTATGTGATGGTACTTAGTGAATCTCTCTTTTTTTTTTTTTTTTTGCTGAGTACAGTGTACTTTATTGATGGTACATGACAAGATGGGCTTGCCAAGCCCCTCCCCTTTCTCAGGGGGATTTGATGGAAACTTGTGTCAAGGATTTCTCAGTGTGTGGGAGGATCAAGTTGGGGCAAGGACTCCCCAGCAACTGAGGGTCTCTCTCTTCTAGTGCTATTGCTGGGGCTGGTGGTCCAAAGGTATCTTATTCTTTGGAGGCCATGTGAACCATCAGGTCGACCACTTGGTTGCTGTAGCCAAATTCATTGTCATACCAGGAAATGAGTTTGACAAAGTGGTCGTTCAGGGCAATGCCAGCCCCAGCATCGAAGGTGGAAGAGTGGGTGTCACTATTAAAGTCAGGAGACAACCTGGTCTTCAGTGTATCCCAGAATGCCCTTGAGGGGCCCTTCTGATGCCTGCTTTACTACTTTCTTGATGTCATCATATTTGGCAGCTTTCTCCAGACGGCAGGTCAGGTCCACAACTGACACATTGGGGGTGGGGACACAGAAAGCCATGCCGGTAAGTTTCCCATTCAGTTCAGGGATGACCTTGCCCACGGCCTTGGCAGCGCCAGTAGATGTAGGGATGATGTTCTGGGCAGCTCCACGGCCATCACACCACAGCTTTCCAGAGGGGCCATCCACGGTCTTCTGGATGGCAGTGATGGCATGGACTGTGGTCATGAGTCCCTCTACAATGCCGAAGTTGTCATGGATGACCTTGGCCAGGGGAGCCAAGCAGTTGGTGGTGCAGGAGGCATTGCTGACAATCTTGAGAGAGTTGTCAAACTTTTCATGGTTCACACCCATCACAAACATGGGGGCATCGGCAGAAGGAGCAGAGATGATTACCCGTTTGACACCACCCTTCAAGTGAGCCCCAGCCTTCTCCAAGGTTGTGAAGACACCAGTGGACTCCACAACATACTCAGCACCAGCATCACCCCACTTGATGTTGGCAGGATCTCGCTCCTGGAAGATAGTGATGGCTTTCCCATTGATGACCAGCTTCCCATTCTCAGCCTTGACAGTGCCGTTGAACTTGCCATGGGTGGAATCATATTGGAACATATAGACCATGTAGTTGAGGTCAATGAAGGGATCATTGATGGCAACAACTTCCACTTTGCCACAGTTAAATGCAGCCCTGGTGACCAGGCGCCCAATGCGGCCAAATCCGTTTACTCCGACCTTCACCATCCTGTCTCAGGGATGCGGCTGAGGCTGCACAAGAAGAGAGGGCAATCAGGATCGACGAGGAGCAGAGAGCTGTGAATCTCTTATAATTATGCTTCCTGACTTAGAATATGGGCTATGGAAGATCCATTAGCCTCCTGAATATGTACAAAAATAAGTGAATTTTTCTGGGAAAATTTCATTAGATTCTCATAGCAGGTCTGGGACTTAAAATTGCTTAAGAGCTGTTGATCTAGGAAGAAAATTGGATTCTAATAAGCCAGCTTCTTATTCAACACCACCATGTTGAATGCCTACACAGGCTATACGTAGAGTGAAGCTGTCACTGTCGTCACCTGGAAGGTATATCAGAAGGGCGAGAGGCGGTCAGTGTAATTGCAGTCCTGCATTGTACATCAGTGGGACCTAGACAAATCATTCTTTTCTCTGGATGGCTACTCCAGAATGGAGGGTGTTAGACTAGATTATCTTTGTGATCTCTTATTCTCCTGCTTCATCTCCTTTCTCTCCCCTTTTTATATTTAAACTGAGTTGGCAAATCTTAGTGACTTAGAAATAAAGTAGTCAGCACATCTCTGTATAGATAGCTGTGTCTTTGAAAAGTCCAGAACATCAGAGAGTACTCTAATTTCATTTCAGTCCCAGTCATACCTGTAGGATTTATGGCATACTGCCTACCATGACAAGATGAGTTGTGAGATTACTGTGAAAAAAGCAGGTAATGGCAAAGAAGAAGAAAAAAAGCAAATGGATGACATAAGAGACTCTAAAAATTGCACTAGAGGGTCAAGAAGCCAAAACAAAGGGAAGAGATGCAAAAGTGAAAGAGATTAAGAGTTCAGAGAACAGCTTGAGAAGACAAAACAAAGGAAATGTACAAAGAGTTGGAGCTAAGAATAGTAAGGGAAGAACTTGCTTGTAATTTCTCAAACTGAAAGACTGAAAAACAAATTCAAGCCTCACTATTTTAAATATTTATTAGTAGTATTACTAGGGAGTTCTGGTGGCCTAGTGGTAAGAATCTGTGCTGCAATTTTAACGGTACACAGTTCAAATGCACCAGCAGCTCTGGGAGAATGATGGACAGTCTCTTCCCATGTGGTTAACAGCCTCTGAAAACCCAGTGGAGGGTTAGCTGTAGGTCGGTTCTGACTCTATGATATTCAACAGCAACAATATTGCTTGGGTTAAAGGGAATAGAAATCTTGCTCATATCAGTTACCAGCTGGTTTTTAACCTTTAGAATTAATTTTTTTATATACTCTGAGTGAATCTGAAATATTATCTTATTTTTCCATTTCTCTCTTTTCTTCTTTAACCCCAGGTAACCATAAAAAGGTAGAATATCCATTTAAAAGGATGTTTTCATGTGGCTTAACTTTTGACTTATTTTTCCTCCTTTAAAACGAATTATCAGAAGCCTATTCTTTTTCTCCTTGCCCTCTTTGAGCTGATAACCTTGAATGTGTTACGTCTGGTCTTTCTTCATGTTTTATGATATTCATTAAAGAGAAACATGCAGCATTTTCTTAGAAATTGCAAGCCATTAGAAATTTTACCTAATTGCTCCCTTTGAGACACCAGCCTGCCAAAGCCACTTTGGGCCCTCGCTAACACGCCACTCGCTTTCCATCTTTTAAGTGTTGTTGAAAAGCAGCTCTGATTGTGTCATTTCCATTGGCCCTTTTCATCCAGTTTCAACACAAAATTGGGGGAGCTGATGTGTATCTATTTAATTATTGATGATCTGTTCTTTACCGTTGGTCCCAGTTATGCCTGTCTAGTAGAACTTTTTTTAATTTGAAAATATTG